AGGCTGCTCTGTATAATTTAAGAATTAAAACTAAACACTGTGTTACCTACAGCCACATCATCTTAGATGAGCTTAAACAACTGTGAAATTCCTGGGATCTATTAAAAGCAACATTCAGCACACACAATAATCAACAGATGCTCAGTAGCTGTGCATCAGAAAACCACAAGTGAGAAGCAGGCTGAAAAGCCTCCTGCCACAAAGATTACTTTCTGCTGCAACCAGGTCCTTGAAAACCATCTGTACAGCAATACTAGACTGGTGTTTGGCTCAGTAGCTATCTCAGTGGTAGTAAATCTGACTTACCCCTTCTCAGTGGCAACAAGTAGTCAAGCAAGCCGTGGTATTTCCTGCTGGTGAGTCAGAGGGGAGACATGAAAATCACCATCTCTTCACACAGAACATTTTAGACATTATAATTTGGTATCACCCGTGGTTACTTCGCCCACTGTGCTGTTCTGAGGATGACACTTCATTTCAGCAGAAATGTGACATTTCACAGTAGCTGACCAGCTCCTGGCACCTGGGGCTCCCTGTTCTCACACCCTCACTTGACCCAACAGCCCTTGATCCCTCCAGGCCCTCTGATGCTCCCCTTTCCACAGGGGTCTCTAGGATCTTTGTCCTCCTTTTGTTTTTCAACTTTCAGATCCTGGCTTTTATGAGGTTCAGTCCTGGGTTTGTTTATCTTCAGGTTCCCAGGCTTGTACTTGTGCTTCTTCCTTCCTTCCCTCCTTCCTTCCACACCCCTTCTTGAACCCTTCCCATGGCCTCCAACATCCATCCGTAGTTCCCTTCTGGCCAGTGCCAGCAGGCACAGTGAGAAGAAGGTCATCTCATATCCTGAAGAGTCACATCTGCAGTCATCCTTTTTCTACATCAATCTCTCATGATTAAAAGCACATGATAGCTACAAGGCCAGTAAAACAAAACAAGTGTGGAATTTTCTGGTTGTGCCAGTTGAAAGATTTAAGGAGCAAAAACAACTGAAAAAACGAGGCCAAGGCCAAAACAAAACAAAAAAAAACAACACAACAAAACAACAAAACACCAAACCCAAAACAAAACAAAGAGAATGCAAGAGAAATCAAAACAGCTCAAATTTCTGGCCTTCATTCTTAGGCCAGACAACCTAATCTTCAAGCCAAGCAAAACCTGAGTGGCTAGGAAAGATAGTTTTCAAGATTTTCCTTATTCTGCACCAGCCTAGTACAGAATTGAACGTTGCTCTCGTGACAATCGTAAGAGCCCATCACAACAGGTGAAGATTACATGGCTCTTCTCCCTGACCAACACTGCCACAACAGCTCTACATCTTCCACCATTCACTGATTGGCTTTTAAAAATCTTGGCCCTTGCAGAAAGATGCAGCTACTTCTTTCAACTCAGAGCAGCACAGCCACAGCTATAAGATTTGGAGGAAGGGGGCTACAGGGAGGAGAAGCAGACTTGTCAGAGCTGCACAAAGGAGGCAGCAATTATGAAGTGCAACACTGGGAATTCCAGCTGCACAACATGGAAAAAATTCTTTGCCCTGAGAGTGGTGCAACAGAGGGACAGGTCTCCCAGAGCAGCTGGAGACTCTCCATCCTTAGAGGTTTTCAAAATTCTGTCTGGATGAGGCCCTAGGAAACTTCCTCTTAACTTTGAAGTTTATAACCCATGTGGCTGTTAGCCATTTACTAAAAACTTGACAAGAACCACGTGGCTCCAGGTCACACACACACACACACGAGTCACAGGAGGTTGGACTGCAGTGCTCCAGAGCTGCCTTTCAACAATTCTGTCCCTGATTTCTAAGTGGACAGGATGAGGACCAGGTGAGGAGCAGAGGAGCTTCTTCCTGTTGTGTGACCCAGAGGATGAGCAGTACTGCATGAAGGTGAGATGGATGTGGCCCTCACTGTCCTTCTCTGCCACATTCCTGCCTGTTCTCCCTCAATCTCTTTCGATATAACTTCCTGCATTTTTACTAGGCTTCCCAGAAAAGCAAAAGAAAAAACTCCAAGAGGTCTTATGGGCTAAAAAACATGCAATTTTGCAGAAGACTTATTTCTTTATAGAGATGCCCTCAAGGGATACTTTCACCTTTATTTACCAGTTACTTCCAGCCATCTAGAGTGACCTGCACCAGCCTGTGTTCATACTCAAGTGACCCTCCATACATCTCTGGTGCCTTGACACAGCATGTTTGGAGCACTTCACAAATACTGGAATTGGCCAAGGCTTGGTAAACTTTGAATTTGAATTTTTGCACAAAAAAAAAAGGAAGACAGCATTCACAAGGAAACTTTCTGTGTTCCATCAGCTAAAGTGTAACACATTCTGGATCAAGCTTCATTATTCATGGACGAAACATTGCACATAATCTCCCCACAAGAGCATTGCAAAAAATTCAAGCAAAGAGCAGGAGCACCTGAGCTCCTGATATGTTGGAGGCCCCACAGTTCTCCTCCAAATGAACTGAGATGTGCACATCATTTCTGGAAACTACCTTGCAAAGTGCCATCCTTATTTTACAGTGGCACCAGTGAGCTTTAAGTGACACATGCCTAAGCTGAAGTCATGCACTCTAAACTGTCCCAAACACCACTGGGATGGAAAGAATGAGTAAAAGCAGACAGGGATCAGCAAACTGCAGATTCTCTGAAATTAGCCAGTGTGTAAAAATAATTTGGTTGTAACTGTAGTAAGACTATCTAAGTAGGTCACCACAAAACCGCAACCGGAGAGCAAAGAGGTGTGGGATTAGTGTCACTATGGGAAACCAGACGCTCTCCAGCTCTGCCCCACCTGTGACACAAAGACAAAAGCAACTGTTGCCCAAACCTCACTGTTTTTTAAAGCTCACACATGTTGGTACTGATTTCAATGGCTTTCACTTTCATGCAAACGGTTCACGAGTGTCCATGTGTCTGTGCCATGAATCTACAGTTTCATTTTGATGAAAGTGCATGGCTGGTATTCTGAAGGGCCTTCAAAATGCCCCTAGGCATACAAAGCAGTATGCCTGTTTGTACAAACACTTCCAGCATGTGATGCTGGCATTCTAGTTGTTTCCATCGTGCCCATCATCTCAAACTTTCAGAGGATGAATGGATGGATGTCCATGACTGCTTGTGTAAGCTGGGAGGTGCTAATTAGCCCCATTTGTAGGTATGAACTGATGCACAGGATTGCTTAGACTCAAGTGACAGCAGCAGTCTGTTCTGGAGGGTATTAGAAACTTGCACCAGGTGAGGCTGACAACTGGGCAGTATTTTAATTCAGGAGCATTTTGACTTTGATTTTGAGGCTGTGGCTTTCATTCAGCTAGATGTGAAGGGGATAAACGCTGGCTCTGCTGTACGGCGGGTTCCCCATCTGTGGTTGAGCAGTGAAACCTGCTCAGCTGCGAGATCCCCCAGGCCTGCCCAGCCAGCAGGAAGGGTCAGGGCAGCTGCAGGTGGCACATGGCCGAGTGAAAAAGCCAGGACCCATTTCCAGGCACCACAGAATGGTTTGACTCCTCAGCACACTTCTGCAGTCGTTATCCTGGGGATTCCAGCACATTCTCTGAAACAGTAACCCTGTGCCATCACGACCTCTGCCTCCATTTAGGCCCAGCAGGTTACTTGTGAGCCTGGGTGATGGTTGCTGAGGGAACAGGAGCTACCAGGGGATGCCAGATACAGCACCAGAATCACAGAACCATCATGGTCTGAAAGGGCCTCTAAGATCATCAAGTTCAACCATCAACACAAAAAAAACCCCACAACCTTGGCCACTAGAGCGTGTTCTGAAGCACCAAGGCTACACAGCTTTCAGCACCTCCAGGGACGGTGACTCAACCCCCTCCCTGGGCAGCCTGTCC